TATAATACAACGAGTGCCATGATGAAAAACCCGGGCAGAGAAGCGCACACTGTGGTGTGTAAGCAGCCTGGCACCACGTTCCCCTACATTCCTGATAAGACTGGACAATCGTGTTGGCCAGTGCGTCATCGGCAAAATGACTGCTTGTGCGTACGTTTACCCAACAAAGAATTATGAAGTGTACAAAGAATCAGGAGACACTCGATGTCCCTGTGTGAACCACAGCTAGAGATTCCCTCTTTGCCAACACGGACTTACACAACCAAAAGGCAGCCTGATTGTAGTACAGTTAAAAAAACGAGCAGACCCAATAGCCGTCAGCAACTAAGACCGGTGTGAGCTTTTTTTGTTTGTGTGTGTGTGTTTGTGTGTGTGTGTGTGGGGGGGCTGTTAGCGGGGTTTGGGGTTACTTGGCACCATTGTTAAAACAAAACGTGTATAAATCAAAATTTCACCTGTTAAGATTTTAAAAAAACAGAAAGAAAAAAAAAGTGGTATTTTACCAACAGCAGATGACATCATCTCCTCATGTTCACAATGCCCTTTCAGATTACAGCTGACCGATAGCACAGACAAGCGCACACCCCGACTGAGCCCTGCGCCCTGTCCTCCCTTTCATCCAGATTTGCTGCTCAAAAACAGCGTGGAATTCTCATACAGCTACTAAAATGGCTCAGTTAAAACCAGTGAAACTTAAACATCCCAAACTTATTGGAGTACCTTTCATTCCAAAAGATTTTACGACGATGGTAAGCTCAGTTAGACACATTCACAACATGCAAACCTCGAGTAAACGAGATGTCCTCACACGAGTTAAACTCTTCTGGCTCCTCTGCTGGTGCAGCATTCTGTCCAAACTTCAACCCTTGTTAGATTCCAGCATTTTCAGCACATCATACCTGAAATATCTCCTGTAAATCATACTTTCTTCCTCCCTTAGACAGACAGTCAGTGGTCCTCAAAATCATTATGAGACTGTTAGACACTTCTGTGAGACAAATGAGAAAAAAACTCATTTTTGTTATGTATAAAAACATATTTAAAAGTCTTCAGCAAAAGCACATGAACCAATTATGGCAATTGTCAACTTCCCCAACATAAAAAAACAAAAAGAAACAACAAACAGAAGCTTAAGGGACTAACTGTTGGAGTTTCTTTATGTGGCCATTAAGTCAGCCAAGGTAGCTTCAATGATATTCTGTGACCTAAACATAGCCTCTTTACAAAACATCACTGGGGAAAGTAAGTTCCATCACAGACTGATACAACCAGAAGGCTAATTGACTCTGAATTTCAAGGCCTCTGACTGCATGTCAGCCATGTAACTCGGTTCCAGAAATGGAGAAGTGTGTGACTGAGTGGGAGGACAACAGTTTAGATCCTTGAATCCTACCGGCCTGCATGAAGCCATAAAGAAGCAGCATTTAAGGTTTTCTAACGTTAAAGACATAACAAATGTAAAAAATGTTAATGAATTAAACTCACTGTTCTTATGAAACATACATAACATAGAAAAACTGCCCCATCTGGCTTTCACAGAAATGGCAGAACTGAGCAGATTGCCTGACCACATTTGAACATAGTAAAAAAATGAACGGTAATCAGAATGTCAAGAGCTTTATCATTCAGATCTTCAACAGAAAGCTGGATTTCTTTCCTCTGGTACTCAACCAATTCACTGATGATGCAGATTTATATTCCTCTTATTATACAGTCTCTTAAGCTTTCAAATCTAAAGTAATGGCCATAAAAATAAGAACAATAATAAGAGTTCACAGTCATCTGTGGAGGAAGCACTGGGAGTAAAACCAGGAGCTCTGTTGATATGATCGCTCATTGTGAGGTGGTCAGAGAGAGGGAGGAGGGGAAAAAGGAGCTGTGGAGCAGAGTCTTCAGTGGGTCCCTGTCGCCCCCACTCAGTCTTTTCTGACCAGGCTGAAACAGAGGCAGCACTATGGGTCTGGACGCCACGGCTGGACTGCTGATGCTATGCTGCCATGAGATACTGATGGTAAAAGAGACCAAAGAGAGAAGTGGAAAAGAGGCAGGCAGCTATCCACCAAGTGAAGAAGGAGAAAAGACCCCGGAAAAGTAGGGGGCTAAAAACAGTCTGCAGGCCCCCCAGAGCCATTGAGAGTTGGGCCACTGATGCCCGGGCTCCTGTTTCTACCACTGAAGCTGGTGTTGGGGCAGCTATTGGTTCTGCCCCCATCACAGAGTCAGAGTTCATTTCATGTGTGCACGGCAGCTCTTCTTCAGGGTAGACCCACCAGGAGTGACCACCTGTTATAAACAATGTAAGGGAAGCAAACTGCTTAATATGATGAAGGACAGCAGGACATTGTTACAAGTACACTTATGTAACTACGAATTCTAAAAAAATAAAAAATAAAATAAAAAGACTCACCTAAGGTTTTTAGCAGCAAAGTCGTATGCAGTAGCATCACCAGAGGTGCCACATACTGTAGTGCGATTACACACAAGTAGTAAAAAACCCGTGCAACCTATGAGGCAAAAAAACAACAACCCCAAACTGAGAAAGTAGGAGTATTACAAAAGACTTCAGCATAAATGTTTAGCTAAACTACTTAAATGTCAACATGCAAGTCCGACAGCTACGCCACAAACCATCCGACATAAGGATGCAACACACCGCTGTCTGTTCGGACATCTCATCCAGGAGACAACTGGGGTTTAAACAAATGACGATGAGAGGGAAAACATTTCCTGCTAAGACTAAACCTAATTGCTTATTTTTTTAAACACGAAAGAGAGAAAATGTATGATTTTGGTCTGTACGAGGTAAATACGAGTGCAATGGAACAGGTTCAGTGCATAAATGTGCTGCATGGACGTCATTGATGAATGCATACATGGCTTACATATAATGCATCCATGTCCCAAAATGATTGTACCCTCTGTTACCAAACTTTACATCCCTTATGGTCACTTATTTGCAGTGTGTTTTTCTTTGTTTGAACATTGACAGGTGTCTTTATATTCAAATAACCTAATGGAACCCTGTTATTCAAGCTAAAAGTCAGGCAACTTACTGCTTGCAATATTAAACTGATCCTTAATGAGCGCATAACAGCACTAAGAACAGAAAAAATAGCTTTTTTTTGCAGTTACTCCACAGATCATAACATGGAGGTGGGGGGGTTAAAAACACAGTATGGTATACCTCTAATATAGCAGCAGTGGATAAAACTAAATGTCCATGATGAGGAGGGCAGAGGTTTTAAAGCATTTTTCACATTTTAGTTGGTGCGAGTCCGAGGTCTTTTCCAGAAGACACAGCGGTGATTTGTAAAAACAATGTGATCATTTTTTCAACACATGCTTTAATTTTCTCTGAACACCACATTTCAAAGCAAGAAGGTATGAGCAAGGTCAGCACTAGCCAACTTCTACTCACCATCTTCTGCAGGTCCACAGTACTAATCCGACCTGCTTCCTTCTTCATCTGGTCCACACCCTTCTGCGCCAGGTTGAGGTAGGCCTGCAGGTGGTGCCTCATCATGGCGAGCCGGAGTACACACATCAGTATGATGACCCATAACCGCAGAGTATCAAACGTCTGCTCAGTCATCCTGGCATTAATAGAAAGACGGAGAGGGGACATGAAAAAGGTGATAGCTTTTCGTGCAAACCCAAGGCAGCCTCTAAGCGTCTTCAATATGGCGCGCAGAGACAAAAAGGAGAGAGAGAAGGAAACATGGCGAGACGCAAGGAGCCAGAAACGACTCAGGGGAAAGTAAGAGAGGGTGAAATTGAAGTATAAAAAAGGGGGTATTGTAACATGAAATTAAACTTAATCAGGTTTGACCTTGATGATACAACAGTCAGTTTAAACAGCAAAAGAAATGTTAAACACAGGAAAACATCCAGGCAAATGAAAAATGCCATCTCTGAAAATAATGAGGCAAAAGATAAAATAAAACATATCTATCTCAAGTAAGACTAAACTTGTGTACAGTCTAATTTAACCCAAGTAGGCAGTGTGTACGTTATCTACTGGCTGAAGAGTTTTCTTATCTCAAATCACAACTGAAAACATCAGCACTACAACTGGAGTTACATTGTTTTCATCCATTTCCCAAAACAAAAGTTACAATTACTGTCACTGTCTAGTCCAGCGGCTCTCGTTTTAGTGTGAGGTGTTTGCTGTGTTAGAAAAACTCTCTTATTGGCCATAAATGGTCAAATCATTTTGTTTTCCACAGTTTTATAGGTAAAATGCATGCATACATGCAACTGGCAGAAATGTAAGCATCGTAATGCCTTAAGATTACAAATCACCCACGACAATATTTTCAATATTAATTACATTTCTTTTTAGGCCTCGGCCACTATGACTGAAAAGCCTCAATAGGGCTACTTACAATAATGTAACCCAATTTAATGTAAAGCCACATAAATTTTCCAACATGTCAGATGTTGTCCCACCAGTGTCTGCGGACTCCTATGAAATCTAATGCTAAAAATCTAATATGATGGAAACGGGTTTGGAGGCTTTAACAGGTAATAAGGGCACAGTTTGTTATGCAATTATAAATTTACAGTTGGGGAGATAAATTGAGAATTTTATAGGATTTCCTGATCTTGCCAGATTTCTCAGGAAGCATTACGTCTCTGAAGCGGTGGTCATGTATTCTGCTCTGGAGACTCTCTGGGACAATCCAGGGAGAAAAACATGTTCTTCTTCCTCATTACAAAGTTCAGCATCAGAGATTTGCAAATGAAAATCTCAACAAGACAAATGCCTTCTGTACAGTTGCCCTGCAGATTGGAGACCTGAAACAGAACTTTTGGTCTTAAAAGGTAAAGGAATGTTTGAATTAAAGAGGAAAAACTGTGTACAGTTCCGATAAAAAGATCGCCTCCTCAACTGTGAAATACACAGGTGAACTAATGAGATTCTGAGCTTGTGTTAAGGCCAGCAACACAGGGAACATTTAACTTGTTATTGGAAAAATGTTCAAAGCTGAGGATAGAGAGGTGGCGTTCTTTGACAAGTGGGTGAGATTTTGTGAATTCCGCCGTGAACGTGACAAAAAAGGTACAAGCTGCCTGTTGGTTTCAGGGATCGAGACTTTTTATAGGAGAAATGGAAGAAATGCCCCAAAATAGGAAACCAAAAAAAGAAATTAACCATTTCTTTACAGATTATATCAGAAATTAGATTTTTTTAATTCTTATATTGTCAAAATAAAAGAATACTACATGTAAGCAAGACAATTTCAAATACTTCATTTTGATCCTTCAACCTATATCACACTGTTGTATTTCCGCTTATAAGAAATGCTTCAGCAAAAGTGAAAGCTGCATATGCACAAGAATGTTTTTTTTTTTTTTTTTTACTTACAAAGGCACACTCTCCTTTCCAAAAGTGGGGTTCATTATGTAGTCCTTGGTAATTGGCTTCACCCACAGCAGGACCATAATGAGGGGGGACAGGAAGTTGATATGAAGCAGAGTTCTACAGAATGATTAAGAAACAATTCAAAATAAAAAGTCTGTCAAAGGCATCCTGAAACACCATAACTCAGTGTATAAGGAAAAAGCGTCCGTCTTTCTGAAATCACACATTTTCATTGTAAGAGAAAACAGGCCCAAACATGTGATGCACCGACTGCTGTCAGAGGGTTACAAATGGGAGGTTCTGGCTATTATCTCTTCATTTGATAAGGTCTGAAAATGTAAACTTGTGAAACTTATTAGGGGAAAACGAAAGAGAATGCTGTTTTGGTGTAAATGTCAAGCTAAAGTGGATTACAGGAATCTGATGTGCTCCCTGTTCTGCAACTCTAATATTGAAAATAAAAATCTGACCAAACTGAGGTCGGTGTTGTCATCCGTCCATGGCTCCTGATAGTCCAAGACAGTTTGTTACTAGAGCTCTGTTTTTATGAACACTTTGAGCACGATATGTTTCGAATAATAGGATGAAATTTTATATGGAATGACTTGCACATTATTTTGTAAACAACAAAAACTTACACAGAGATTGAGTAAATTAAAACCCAACTGAAACTCTTATGTATCGTCATCATCTTTAATCTCAGACAATTAAAGAGGCAGACTTGACTAAAATTCTGAATTGAATAGTAATTAAAACTAAAGCTTTAAATGGAAATGACATGGAGGGGTGCTGTTGCTGCAGTAATCACAGGTGTACTTGCTTCTGTGGTACAAGTTCAGGGATTTTTCAAGGCAGTTCAGTTCTACTTGAAGCACCAGCTAAAATGAGTAAGCAGCTGAGTTGAGGCATACACATTCATCTGAGTCTTGAAAAAGGGCTACAAAACCACAAGAGTACAAACATAAGATTTAAAAAGAAATATACATGGTTTTCTACCTTTCTCCAACTGACTTATTAAAAGGGAGCAAGAAGAAATCAAATGTTTCTGTTTTAAGATAAAAAAAATTCGCTGCAGCAAACTCACTGTGTAAATTTGGTTGTGGTGAGATTGAGGGCATCCAGGTGCATCTGGGCTAACCGTAGACCGGGAAACGTTAAAAAAGCTCCAATCAGAGAACAGAGCAGGGCCAGGATTAGCTTGAAGGTGAGTTTAGATATGGGACCCCTTTGGAAGAGAAAGAACAGGAGAATGGCTTTTATCAGGCACATCCGGCAGAGAAAACAATAAATAAAAGGTCAACAGAGATTAAACTTTTTTTTAAAACACAACCTAAACAAACTGCTAAAATAAATCCAGTGAAGTTAGCAAATATCTATTCTTTTTTCCTGATTCAAGACAATGAACAGTGCATGTGTGCATGTTTAGATTTAAAATAATCTCCACCACTGATTTTATCAGCAAAATCAATAATCTGCCACAGTATGAAAGTATGATTTTGAATTTTCAGACAATATATATACTGTCCTTCTGCCTTTTTACACTGTTATGAATGCTGGCCTGGGAAAATGAAGCTAAACAAAGCTAACAGCTGCAGAGGTGTATATGTTTCCATAAACAGATGCAGCTCAGGTAGTGATACACAAGCTGTAATCAGTGTAGGAAATGTCTGCCTGGGTAAATATAGAAAAAAAAAAAAAAAATGTTAGACTTACTGTGACTCTAAGCCCTGGTGCTCCAGAAACTGTTGAGCACTGTCAGAAAAGTTTTCAAAGCCTAAAGAACAAAGAAATGGTCAACAGTGACTCGCTCACTTCTAGAAGGAGCAGTAGATGACGAGGCAACATCTTAGTCTTTTCTCAGAGCGCATATGGGCTACTGACCTGTCTCCAGACCAAACTCCAGGTAGTTCTCAGTGATGATGAGAATAGCCATGGCTTTGACAAAGAAAAAGAAAGCAAAAGTAATGCAGAGCGAGCGCTCGCCTCCTTCCTCCAGCTTGAAGTAGTGGGCCGTTATAGAAAAAAGGGTTTTACTGGAGGGGCAGAGTCAAGGAAAAACACAACTCAAGGCCGCTGACCCACAAACTACATATCAGCCACAAACTACACATCAGCGGGGTGAGAAAAAATTATTTAAAAAATGCAACCACACAAAAGGATTTTCCAGCTTTACAGAAGTAAATATACCCACATGAACTCTCTGCTACACAAACCCTGCTGCCTGGCACTTGTGGGCATCGCACATTTGGTCCTTGTCACCAACGCATGCCAAAACCGTGTCACCTAGTCTGCACACCAGGGATCTGACCACTGCAAATATCAATCTTTCCAATTTAGGGGCTTGCGTCCTATTCACTCAATTTCACTTCAATTTCAAAATACTATTCAAGCCGGTATGTCACAGCTGTATAAACACCTACACAAAAAGACAGAATCTGAGTGGCCTGAAGGAAGGAAAATGGCAATACTTAAGTTGATCTCCATATTAGCTAAAAGGGAGGATATCTTGCCACATTAACACATTTGACTGAACAGCATGTACATCCATCCATCTACTTATACCCTAATGGGGTCGCGGGGCGAACTGGAGCCATCCTAGCCTATCAATGGGCAAGAGGCGAGGTACACCCTGGACAGTCCAGCCATCGCAGGGCTACACACAAGACATACAAGGACAAACAACCACACACACTCACATTCACTCCTAACGGTAATTTGGAATGTGCTGCCCCAGTATGTACATAAAAATACTAATACTAGTATGTAAATAACATTAAAAGGAGAAACTCACACTTCATACTTAACCCCGGTGTTGGTGGTAAATGCAAAAGTTTAATGGTGCTGGAGCTGATCTCCAAAGCAATAGTTTTCAAATACCATCATGACTGACCTGACGAAGAACTGAAATCGAGCATCCCACTACCACATATTGGTACAACATATCCCTCATCTTCATTCTCCCATTTCGTCATTTCTCCAGCCTGTCCTTTTCCTCAAGCATATCAATGAGACGGGCTGTGAAAATTGGGCTTCCAGTCTGCTACACAGGCAGGAAATGACACCATCTGATGTTGGCAAGTTAGGTCAGAGCAGAAGAACTGGCAAGATTGATCCGTTGGGTCAGAGGCAAAAATAATGCATATCATTCGGCACAGCAAGACAGCAGCAGGGAGAAAAGCTGCACTAGGGTCTGCATGCTAGTGGTACTTTTATAGTTTTTTAGTGCTAAAGCCACATCCACCAAAGCTGTAGTGATTGCATCTGTTATATACACAAACATGTAAGATAATACAAAAAAAAACTTTTAGGCAAAAACCATTGAAATGTTGGTAAAACAAAAATGTTGCTCACTTGAATACACATACCACATGTTACCAATTTAGAAACTAAATTACTACAGAACACTGAGGAGTGAGACTGAGGGAAGAGTAAAAAGGGCATTCAAGATGTAAAGAGTGACTGATGTCAGGATACATGACAAAGGCGAGTACCAGTAGGCACCAGACCACACTGATGTTCATCTCTCCCGAGGGCTGAACAGCACTGTAGTAAAGCTCCGTTATCAGATATACAGCAGTTGCAGCTACTGTGAAGTCTACCAGCCACTGGAACTCAGGGAAGTAGTGCAGTGCTGGAGACAGAAGAAACATAATGAAATCATAAAACTCAATCATCCAGCATTCAATACGGAAAAAGATGTGCGAGGAAGCAGCATCTTGGGTTTAGATTTATACCTAATGTGTCCACTTCTGTGATGGATTTTGTCTCCAGCTGCAGGTCTATATCCTTTGGAACGGTGAGAGGCTTACTGTCTATGTGACCATTGTACTTCCTGGAAAGACACAGAGAGTTGAAAGAAAACCCAAGGTCAGAGAAATAAAAAGCACTTGTAATTTTGACACCTTTAACATTTCTTTTAAACCTGGGCAAAGGCACACGCTTTAAAGCTTTTGCTTTTTTCGAGAAAAGTTTTTTTTGTTTTTTGGTAATGGCGGCTCATTCTAGCCGACTTGGAAAAATAAGGTGGTGGTATCAGCTTGAAAGCAGCTGTCCTGCTGCCACAGCGCTAAAAGTGGAAATTAAGGGGCTGATGCCTGCTGTAATGTAGCTCTGGCAGAAAGATATAATGATAAACAAAAGCCTGATTACCTTTATTACCAATACCATTAGACTATTTCAGAACAAAGGGGGCAACACTAACAGCAGGTGATTTGAGAGCTATTCTTAAGGGTTGAGGGATTGTTTGGTAGGCCTCCTCAATATTGGACTTTGTTCAGCCCTGCATGTGTGCTAGATTCAGAAGGACAATGCCACTGTAAGACTCTTGAACCAAACATGTGCTGGGCAGATTTCATCTTTAAGACACCTGACAGGGGGAAAAAAAGAGAGAAAAGAAAAAAAAAAAGAGGCTTAGCCCCAACTCTGACCAAGGGAGCCTGACAGTTAACAAAGAGAGTGGAGTTGCATAGCATGAGCTGGCAAAATGACAGTGGTCCATCTTTTTCTTCAGAGGATTATTGAGCATGTGGTGCGAAAGAAACTTGACCTGCCTCATACAGGGTCAGAGAAAGGACTGCAGCACAAAACAGCCTCCAGTTAGGAGACACCATGTGGAACAGTCAGGATTAACTTTCAGATGTTGCTTTCATTTTAATTCACATTTAAAAGGGGGAAGCACAATAGAAATGGGGCTAAATTCTCAGAGATCATCTTACGGTTCCACCACAAAAAAGAGGCTTGTAGTCTCAGCTGCAAAGAAGTAGTGAAGTCAAATAAGCTTCCAGAATCAGTACATGACCTCAGAGCACTTTAACCCTACAATCTTGCTTTGGTGATGTTTTTCTCTAATGATAACTGCAATCCTTTGAAACTCCATTTCTGTAAAAGAATAGTAAAAATCCCAAAACACAGTATCCACTTTCCAAACCCACAGAAACAGACCTCTGCCTGTTATTTGAAAACATCTTCCTCCACCTTGATGAAAGGGGTGTCTCCATGCCCTCTGCATGCTTCTACATTTCCCTCTGCCTATCTCCCCTTCCGGCCTACCTGTCTTTTCGCTTCTGTCCTTTTTGTTTCCCCGCTAGGCTCCTCAACTCATCTTCCGTAGGGTGCTGATACCACCGCAGACTGAGGGCAGAGAACAGGAGAGATGTGGACTCAGACATAAAGGAAGGCAGTGTGGAAAAAGGGAAACGGTGAAGCTGTGGACACGGAGAAAAAGACTGACAGACTCCGGGTCTGAACATTCCATTTTAGTAACATGATGGCATATTATATATAATTATTCCATCTGCTACCCTTATTGCTGTAAGAATAATGGGGTTCACCACCTGTTAAGCATATTAAAGTGGCTTTACACCACTCCTCACAGTAACATTAAAATATCAATAGAAGCTGCTTTTGGAAGTGGAAATATTGAGTCTCTATTGCATTGAGGTGCATCAACATAACTGTGCTTTAGAATTTTGTGACCAAACAACACACATGGCCACAACCTATTTGTAAATGACACATTTACCTGCAATGGGCTTTGTGTTGTGAGCAGTTCTCTATGACTGTGTTTGAAATAATATAAATTTAGGGAACATTTTAAATATCTAAAGAAATATTTCTTGATTGAACACAAAGTGTTTTGCAAAATACTCCATCTGGCTGACTGATGGGAATACGGCTCCTAAGTGAGGGGGGGATGAGTTTACAAGAGTTTTCAAAAGTAATTAGCATTATTCATATAACATGTACTAAGAAGATGATTAAAGAAAAACATACAGACCCCAGCAGACGCAGAAAGAGGAGTTATTTTCTTTGTCCTGTCGGATCACTTCAGTATTTTCATGCCTTGAAGTTTTTGCAAAACATTCTAATGAACTTTCATTCATTTATGCTCCCATTAACCAAGGCATTTTTAATTCTGTTATCAAAGTTAAGTGACCCTTTTTGTTTTTGACTCTCTTTGACATAAAACGTCTCAGGAGGTTAGTAACCTGAAGAGATCATTTGGAGGAACTACTTCAAGCAGCATGTTAAGAATCTGCATTACCTGCCACTGCAGAGTAGCCATCTTGCAAAGGAGTAATGAGGTACAATTTTCTGAATTACACTGGCCATTACCATGGTAACCACCAGCTGGACACCGATCACACCCTGTGGACAGAAGTAATAATCACATTCAAACGGTAATTATACATGCCATGAAATCCTAGTAAGAATCATGTCTCAAATACAAATATTCAATAAAATCCTCTCTGAAACATCTTTCAGAGTATAAAACAATAAACTAGACGATAAATCATGACTGTGCCTTTGTTAATGATTGGAAGTAATTTTCTTATATAAATTTGTCAGCATTTTTGCTATATTTTGTCGAAAGAAAGTTTCAGCTGCATTCAGGACTGTTTGTTTGACTGACAACCATTCTCTAACCCTTCAGACCAGAAGCAACAACAGAGGGCTTTTACCCTCCAACCCTAACGCGATGTGACCATACCCCCATCAATTTCAAGTTTGACTTTGTTTTGACAGAATGTAAAGCTTTAATTTACAATAAGAGGAAAAGGTTTAACTTTCAAACCTTTTACTGTCTCACAAATTGAGAATTTTTGAGTGGTGAATTGAAATGTGTGCATATAACACACAACAGGATGCAAAAATCAAACCGTTAATATTACCCGGAGAGCAGAGGGCATAATTTAGCCTCTGTCTGAAGCCTATCCGGCAGCAAATGGAGGATCTAAATGACATTTTTTGCCATGTCTGATAATAAACTCACCAGACCCAAATCTGGGAACGGTGCTGAGTGCTGCTGAATGTTGGTGAGAGGAAAAGTAAAAACCATTTAAACAACAATTACAAACTACCAAAATTAAAAATACAATCTCTAATATTCACATATAAGGACCAGTAAAGCAAACCTAAACAAAACAGAAAAAAGGCCACCAGGAGAGGCTCTAAAGGCTCTAATCAAAACTCAGCACAACCACAAAGTAATTCGACATTTTACAAAGCAAAAATGGCTGGCTTTTTTTTTTATTTTTATTTTTTTTTTAAATGGCAGTCCAATAAAAATGTCCAACAAAAATTATAAAATTGTTGCAACATTCCTTAAAATGTCAGTGTGGCCACTGGCCAGAGCCCTTGTGGTAGTTACCTAAAGACTTAACAACATAAAGAGCTCAGTCTCAACCCAGCACCCTTAGATCAATATTCACTTAAGCTTAAGAGGCCAGAATCGTTCCCATCAAACAGCGCTTTTATCCACTCGCTGTGGGCTCATATCAGCGAGTTAGCTTCAGGTAGGAGCCGCTGATATCTCTTCTTGAACACACTTCAGTTGAAAAGAGCCAACGGGCAAATTGATCTGCGATAAAATATGTTCCTCTGTTCTGACAACAGCCTGCTCTGTGGAAGTACCACTGGACCCACACTAGGACATTCATCTGAATTATTTTTTTGAACAGATCCCCTTGGCTTTACTTTTTTCCTAAAAATGTTGCACATAATCATCTGAACAGCACTTAAAATACATGCCACTCTACATAAAGATACGAGCAATGTTTAAACCTCATGAGTGACTAAGGTAGGCTTATAGAGGGCAGGTGACACCAGACCTGTACACTAGACCTACATTTCGGATTGCTCTTAGGGATCCCCAGTGCCACTCAGCATGAGGTAAGCTCCAAAAGCTCAAGTCAATACCTCTTCTGAACTCACACAGGGGAAAGTGGGTGCCATTTAGTTGGCAATTATACCCTCTCAGATGTAGCGCGTGACCAAACACTACCTCTCTGACTCAAGACATTTCTCCATCAGAGTAATGGTCATGCTATATAGGCCAAAAGCACGCAGCCTTACTTGGACCGATGCTGACCATTCCCTGTGGGGAACCTGCATGGATCTCAGGCCTGGAGGATATTGAGCCAGCATGGCCTCCCTTATCTTGTCCAGTCCGCTTGACCCCCTCCACAAAACAACCAAATTAAATCTGTAGGGGGTGGGAAGTGGGAGCAGCAGTGATAACCACCATCCATAAGTGTTCAAATAGCTCACACCTATTTTACTGATGAAACTAAATGTATCCCAGTGAAACCTGTATATGTGCAAGATACCAAGGTTAATTAATGTATTCTCGTCTTGGGTTAATCTAATCCTTCATTAGTGACATACAACAAACTGAAGAGTATAGAGAGTGTAGGATTGCAGATTCATTAAACACGAGGGACATCCCTCGACTGACAACTTATTCTCTCCTGGGACTTGCTTTCTACAGCTGCCATACACAGTGGGACACCAAGGGTCCAACTTTTTGAACCACCACGGTTAAAAAAAGAGCTTAAATAACAAAACAAATAACGAGTGTGAATATGAACGGTTGTTTGTCTCTGCGTGTCCAAGGCGATCAACAGGCAGCCCATCAAGAATGGCTGTATCCCACCTCTCAATAAATGTAGGAAATGATTACGCCTGAAGATATACAGGATGTTATATGCTCTAAAATGTGCGCTTATGCTTATTTTTTATTTTATTCTTCCCAGTATTACAGTATAGCAGTTAGGACAAAACAGCAATATCCAAGAACTGTATAAATTAAATAAATAAAAAACCACAAGCAAAATATTCTCTATAAAATTCAAACAGCTCACAGGCACAATGTTGTCAGGAATGTCTTTTGTGATAACAGAAGGAAAAAAAACATAATTGTTCATATCAACCGTTAACCTTCGGTGGAGAAAGTATGGGGGATGTATGAAGAGACCTTAATACTTTCCCTACATGATAAAAACAAAGCCGGAACTACATACAGACGAAAGAGTTAATACCCTGACCACGTTCAACACATTTATTATTTAAACATAGATATACAGAGATGACATTTTTCGGTACAAGTAAAAGTCTCAAAGTTGAATTTTGAACCAGCTGTAGAGGCAGAACTGTCTTATTCTTACAAACAGAACTACATCAGTCAGGAAGAACAGAAAAGATGTCTTCTTAAGCATTTACAGATTGGAATGAGTGCAGGTATTGCAAATGCAATAACAGTTCTTAAGGAAGATGAGTGGGTTTTATTTTTAAACAATGTAAAAGTATAGCATATATTAGGAGATAGTGGCTATTAGATTTATCATCATTAAAAAAAACATGGTTTTGTGATCATGAAAACCTATTTGAAAGTAACTTAAATAGAGCTGACAAAAGCATGATTTTGCCTTTCAATTGATTATAGGCATTGTATAGGCAATGTAATCAATTGTGACCATCTTATGTTTATTTAAATCTTTATTGTTTTTAAACTGAAAAAAGGCCATGTCAAACGGTGAGGCATTTAGTTATGTGGTTAGACTCTACGTGTTATGTCAATTTCAAAGGTAAATGGAACCAATAACAAAATTTAATCAAATAGATCAAACTGATATCAGACATTTAAAGCAACATGGCTCCAGGGCTGTTGCTGCGCCCGGAAACCTCCTTAGCTTACCTGAGGGCATACCGATGTCAAACTAAGCAGGTCATTTGAGAGACAAATACACCTTGACTTCTCCTACCTGTTTGGTTAATGGCAATTTATGGATTAATTAAGTGTTGATGAAACAGTTTTTTAAGTTCTATCTTTATCTAGGTAAAGGTCTAAACAATTTAAACTGACTTGACTTGCTCTGATAGAGATAATTTATATGCCATGATGCCAATGCTCAATTTTGGCTAACGCAAGCTAACAAGCGTTACTGTGATGGCATGATGTCCAACTAAAAACAAATAAAGAGTACCTAAAGCATATAGACAATCCTAATAATAACATAAACATTCAATAGTTATATCCATCGATTCGTAGCAAATCATTAAGGAATTAAACCAAAGATACACTGACCACTAGCACCTGTTATGGCTAATAAGCTAGGCTAAGATGATCCTCCCTTCAGAATAATAATTTGGCTGTAAACATAACTTATCCTGCAGCATGCAGAAAATGTCTCAAATAGGGAAACCTTTTCAATGTATATTGCATTATTTCAGTGGGTAAAATGATTATTTTCCGTTCTAAGAGCTTGCTGTCATACTCACCATGTTGATGCAGTGCAGCTAAAACGAACTCTACCCCAACAACACAGAGCACCCCGACTCGGAAATCAAGCGGCGAGGAGCACATAAGCCCTTCTTGCGGTTGTTGTGCTCAAAATGAAGATGTTTATAGTTAAAATTGTCACCGCAGCTTTAAAGAGATGTGCAACATCGTCAGAAAATCAATGGATTCACCCTCCGCTCCCAAGTATTTTCAACTGCTGTAGAGGTCACTTCGAAACTATAGGCAAGCGGGTGTCTTCTGATATGCCTGTATAAAAACATGGAATTGTGAGTTTGCTCATTGAGTATTTTCTAAATTAGGATAATAAAGATGGATTTTTTTTCTAATTCTTTAAGAAAATTTATATTAAAAATATTGGGAGGTGTAATTTAATAGTTTGATTTCTGATTGTTTTCAATTTTATATAGGGATAAACAAAGACCCAAAAGTGAACAGATTAGGACTGCCCCAACCGGAAAAGCGTAGGAAAGAAACCACACATGCCAGAGACATAGCTGCTTCCCAATTGTCAACAGTGTAACTAGTCTGCGGTTTTTCTAAACTAACAACAGACATAGAAATGTTTTGATGTAAAAATGTCGATTCAGTTTTTGAGTCGAGCTATATTTGCTAAATTCGGCCTAATTGAAAGCCATAGGTATCCGCTGCCGACTCACTTGTGACAGACCTACAATGTTGTTATTTTAAACAGTACAACGAGTTGATAATGTGCTGTTGACCTCTGAGGACCTAGAGTGCTACTAGTCTTAACTGAAACTTAAAAGAAAATCTGTCAGGCTTATTATATTTCTTTAACAGTCTGTAATACTGTTAAGCACACCATAAGTCCATAGGACGTTATTTGCAGTTGCAGTACGTTTTCCATATTTAATGGCGGTGAAATCGGCTGCTAATACCCTTGATTTAACTATAAAAGCTTTTAGAGGGAACATTTATCTTTCATTATTGTTTTACTCTGCATTTGCAGACTTAAGGGTGTTGTGCTTCCTAACGCCTGTTGCAAATGTAAAAAAAACAAACAAAAAAGCAAAGTGTTTAAATGAACTTGATTTAAATCATTAAAAACTACCCAAAAAGGAAAGTGTATAAATAATCCTCATTTATTTGCAAACTTTCTGTTACAGTAAGTCTTGTAAAAATGCTATGGCCCTTTCTTTTTTCTTCCCTTTTTTCTTTCATTAACATGATGATAAATACAGCCTGTGTATGATATGAATACACAGGCTGCATTCATGTGAACATTAACACATGGGCATTTTATTAAAATGTTGAATTATCTTAAGTATAATATTTGTAGTAATTATAATCCATTATGACAATTATAATGTTTGTAAATCAAGATGCAATCTTTTCAGAGCATGGCCTGGAGTGTTATCAGATGCAAAATAAATATACACTGAATAGCCTTCACATTTGTGAGTGTTTGCCCCTGCAGTACACACATGAAATGGCATGTTCATCAACATGTGGGCACATAAGGGTTTGGCAGTATTTGCACATGCGCATATATTGGCAAGCCTTCCTCTGTTATTGCAGGGATATCTACCCCACCCTCTTGATACACCATGCAAGCCTCTGATGCCACATCGACACACACATACACACAAAAAAATAGACCACAGGAGTATAATTACTAACAGACTCAGTGTGCTAACGTGCATATTTCCCAATTTAAAAAAAAATCTGCAATGTATCAGACCTTATATTTATTATTACTGTTTAGTTGTTATAATGTCAGCAATTCAGTTCATGCAATGTAAATCACACAATGAAAAAAACATTACATCTTTGTTATTTTAAATATGTCATTTGAAAAAAAGTGTCTGTTTTATATCAGAATCTAGGTTATTCCATACGTTTTACACAGATTTCCTTTTAATTTATAATTGAAGGGAGTCTGACACTGTACATTCTGCTCATTGTGTTCCACATCACACTCAGCACCATGACTGCTGCTGTTTGAACTCTGTTCTTTTCAGCCTTCGCTTCTTTATTCTTTTCTTATTCAGTGTTGTGTGTTCTCTTTAGTGATGCTTGTTATTTTTAGATGAAACATAACAGCCAGGAACTTCAGTGTGCTGTGAGAGTTTCACACCCATTCCAAGTGCTTAATCTATACAACATCTCCTATGTGCCCACTAGTTCTTCTGAGCTTCAGTTCGCATCCCTTAAAATTTTAAGATGATGGGAATATTACAGTAAATTCTCAGCCAAGTCAATCAAGTAGATTCATCGTTGACTGTCACAGTTCATTTTTGATGGCAGGGCTTTTGGTGCATGAGTGCTTGTGAGCATTGTACATTGCTTCCTTCTTTTATTAATCAAATAACATTTTGAAATGTGTGTCACTGATCTCAGCAGTATACCTCGAAGCAGAAAAAGAAATAGAACAGAAATCTGTGTCACCTCCTCACTAGTAGGACTGAAAATGGTTCAGAATGTAATTCTCTTTGGTGCAGCACCTCCTTCTTCATTCTCTTTAATCTGCAAGCATGCAAATTACGATGCAAATGCAAATGCTTCTGAATAATTTATGTGTAGTGTAGAGATCTCTTACAGAAACTGGCAGTTTCTTGCTTAAGTGGAGCGATATTCACAGCACACATTTGGTTAATCACATATATGCACTATAGGCATTTACTTAGTCAAATTAAGTTAAACAGTTCAGTGAAGGCTTTTGAAGGAATGATGACTTTACATCTAATGTCTTTATTATAAAATCACACAGTAATGTTTTTTACAAATGTCAAATCAATCAATGGACATTTTTCTCTTCCTGGTTAAACACAAAATTTAATTTTACGTTCACAAGCCCACTGCAGTTGATGTATTATTTGGTTAATTCTAACTTGAAAGAAAATAGCATTTTACCTGAAGTGTCAGTTAAACTGTTATTTTTTCCCCCCACAACATTAATTTATTTCCATGTTCACTGTGGCTGATATTCAAACAGCTAGTACATACGGCATGTAAATGTCAATCCAAACCACTGCACACATCAATTCCCATTCTCAGATAGTACTATGCCTTCGTGTTCACCATAGTTACAAAGCCTTTGTAGTTTAATACTCCAACACAATTTCTGTAATTTAAACTAAAACATCTACAGAATGTCTTTGAGTTTCATGTTTGAGGAGGCTAATATAGAGATACCACGATTAACGACATTCACGCACAATTGAGTAGGCCTTTTTATACTTTTAATAAGATAAATAAATAAAAAAACGGTTTTAATACATGGCACTTTCCGTCTTCCCCATCACAGGTTTTTCCATTAGGAGTTGTAATTAAGTAGAGGTATTCATGAGTGAGCATGCTCATTTAGCCTGCGTCCGGGTTTAGACAGCTTTACAAGGATGGAAGAACAAATCCTGGTGGAACAAGGCAACGAACGCTATACCCAAAGCGAAAACATTGCAGACAGAATAACAACAACTCCAAAAGTTAGTATGAGTATGTTGTGTGAAGTGTACGATTCCTCGTGTGCACATATTTCCTCGGCAGTCTAATACAGTGCTAAAACATTTTTTTTGTGACATGAGTTAAGTTGTTATGAGGTACATTTTTCAAACAAAGGTTGGGTTATTGACAGAACTGATTTAGTTTAAATTGGCTTTTGCATATTTTTAACCATAAACCTTCATGCCTTTACCTGGCAAATTTGATATTACTCGAGCTAAAAATCTGAATCTGGTGCAGACTGAATGGACTGCTGAGCAGATTTTGCAACGTGTTTGAGTTAAGAAAGAGACATCACAGATTTTTGCAACCTGGAAATGGTTTTATATTAAAATATGTAATTTGCCCCAGTACACATTTACATAATAATGCCATTCTACGTTTATTTGTTGTCAGTATAAAAATCTCAAAGCTAAATCTCCGCTGGATTTAGCAGTTTAAAAACACACACACACACACACAAAGTGTTTAGATAAAAAAAGCACATCATTTTGGGATTTGGAATCACTTTATATGCTGTTGCCATTGGTAATCTGAAAGGCTTCATTAAGATATAACAGTAAATATATAAATATCTCTTTCACTTTCTCCAGCTGACACATTTTAATTCTACACCTTTCATTTAAGTAACTCTCTCCACTTTTGGTGTAGGAGTTTCTAATTTTAAGATAAAACCTAATTTACAATTTCCATCCGCCTTTGTATAATTCATGTAAAGAAAAATAAGAAACTGACAATTCATCATAAGCTACAGTGGCTTCCGATGCATCAGTCTTATGGGCAGAGTTTCTGCCAGTAAGGAGGCCTAATCAAATGATTGTCAGTGTGTTTGGCAGGATCCACCACTGCACAATTCTGCCCCGTTGTTGTTATATCACATCATTTTTTGTCTCCTCAAAGGCACCATTTCCCACTGATCTCATGAACTAAACAGTGCACAACACCAACGAGCAGCACAAAATATTTATGCAAATGTTCCCCCCCCTTCATATGAAGACTGATTTATATCAGAATTAGGGTGGCGTGTGTATGAATGTGTGTGTTGTGTGTGCAGCAGTAGACGTGCTGAGAAATAAAGATAGAGCTACAGGGAGAGAGAGAGGGAAGCTCATTATAATCAGGCAATTATGCTGGCAGAATTAGAGGCGTCCTTATTTTCTCTTGTGGTAGTCTGAGTGTGGATACGGCTTTTTAACTCACTGCAGAGTAATCCGTGGATATGACTGACTATACCGTGTTAATATGGAGAATCTGTATGTGACAACAAGATCTGCCAAAGAAAGCCTGTAATTTGGGTTTTTAGAGGCTCCACAGATTGTAGACTCAAATTTGCATTGATTTTTTTTTTTCTTCCCCACTCCTGGTTGACGTTATGGATCAGCGGCAAGTTTACAGACGAAGGCAGTTGAACACACCTACAACTCAGGACTGTGGATGGGCACAATCAGTGTCTCCCTAAAAGTGGTATATAATCATACTGCATGCTTTTTCAAGACTTGTTCACTCTCATTTATGACATTGTATTCACTCAGTTACCGTTGTTGATAATGTCTGCAAGGCAAAGAGTGAATTATACATGTGTGAGTGCAAATTCTTCTTTTTTATGTTAAAAAATTCTGACATTTAATTTATTATGTTCTCTTTAATTCATGCAAATATTTTGAAAAATGTACATGAAAAATCTTATTTATACATTTTGTTGTGATAAATTCTTATGCGAATAAATGCATTTCTCAGATTTTT